TTGTCTCCAACATATGAAAAGATAAATCACCTAATTTATGCCACAGAAATGGAAATAAAAGAGTGCACTCAATGAAGTAGTGTTTTTGTAGTATTCACTAACAGAATTAATTTGCATATGCAGTATGAGATTTTTCTAAGAGCTTTAAAAAATCATTCAAGTGATATTCTTTCTGCCACTTTATATCTTTGAAAGTCTTCATATTTAAAAGTATTCAGACACATTGAAAAAAAAGCTGGGATATAAAGTGGTTAAAACAAAATATGGGTTTAATTGATTATGAATATAGGATAATTTTCACATTCCTTAACATTGCATTTTATATTTTTAAGCAATAGGTCTTTTGCATGTTTTTTAGAGTCTGAAGGTTTGACTTACCTTTCACTTCTATACATCCCTGAGTACCCAGACTTGTGTTAGCAGAAATCACTGTTCTTTAGTACACATTAGCATCTCAAATTAGGCTACATATTTTCATAAAAATAAGCTTTGGGCACAATGAAGAAGTTTAAGTTAAAAGTCTTGTTGCAATATAAAATGGTGGTTGACTCAACATTGAACATAGATTTAGCAATTATACACTGCATGTGTATGTGTATACCATGCAAATCTTATATTTTTACCTTCTGTCACAAAATACATAACAAATAATCCAGCTTTCCTCTTCTGAGTATTCTACTTTCACTCATTTGACATGTATGATATCAGTCATTCAATGTCTTCTATGTGCCAGGCACTTTCTAGATGCTAGGAGCACAACAGTGACCAAAATATACCTTTGCCCAAGTTGATGCCTTCACATCTAAGTTAAAAAGATTTCTTGTGATCTACCACTATGACTTTAATACAGTAAGTACATAATAGTCCAATTTAATAGGCAGCAAGATGTAATTTCTCATTGTCCTTATTGAACTTTTCTTCAGAAAACAGGTCTGGCTTTTTTAGGTTCAAGTTTTAGTTAAATAATGACTCCTGTTATCTCTCTGCTATGTGTCTTCTTACTTTCTTATCCTACTCATCTTGTTTCCTTTCTAATAAAGTCTTAACTCAGTATAGCATTAAATGTAGGCTTTTGCATAATTCTGATGCCAGATGAGCAACAGCTGAAAAGCAGGGAACAAATGGACAACATGGTTTTCACCTTTTAAAGTGTTAAGTGTCTGAGCATTTAATGAATCCACTTATAAGATCTCTAATTTTATTAAGTAGTCACAACTCTTAGTCTTTTTTTCATTCATAATTCTGTTAAAGGCTGTTCACTCAGCAAATACTTAGTGAGTTCCTACTATAACTGGTCAATAAAGATATAAAGATTAAGGCATCATCTCTAGCCTCAAGAAGCTCATAGTCTTAGAAGAGACAAACAATAAACTGACAAGTGATAAATACAATGTGAGAGACAGAGTGGTCAGGGAAAATTTATGAGGAAGTTCATGTGTAGTAAGAATGCTTACTGGGAAGTGGAATATAAGCTTAGTTGAAAGGAGTGAAGATAGAGTAGCGTAAGGAAAACCAATGAGGCAATCAACAGCACTTTTCTTTTCCCCAGAAAATTATGAACAATTCCATGCTGATGAAGTATTAATAGAAAAAAGTAAAGATTAAGGCAGAGCATGGAGTGTCTCATATGCATTGTCAAGAAAATTGGACTTTCTCCTGTAGGAGATGGGAGATCATGAGCAGGTTCTAGGAAGAAGAGAGGAGAATTGTCAAACTCGTATTTTCTATCAATCTGTGTGATGGTATGCATTCAAGCTAACTGAGATCAAAGGCAGGGAGAACAGTTGTGAGAGCACCTCAGATGTTGAATTAAAAGATGCTGAGACCCTGAATTATGGTATTTGAAAATATGAGGAAAAACATAATAATTTAGTGACTGAATAGTTGTAGGAAAGAAGGAAATTGGACATATGGTCTCATATGGCTGTGGATGGGTGTAGGGGGTAAAAATGAAAAGTGCATTTTTTCCAATGAAGATCAGAGTTAAGTTAATGTGTGGCAAGAGAAAGGGCAGTTAATAAAATACACACGATTAAGAAGATGTTCTTGTTATCCCGATTTTATACTACACTATGCATTTTCAGCACAGAGGAATGCTTCTCATTTAAGCACGCAGCTTTAGGGCTTTTACACTCATTTTTATCCTGGCCTTCTCTATTCCCTCAATGACATTTTATGCTGGAATCCTAAAATTTCTGTTTCTTTGCATTTTTTTTTTAAGATTTTATTTATTTATTTGACAGAGACAGGGAGTGAGCACAAGCAGGGGTAGTGGCAGAGGGAGAGGGAGAAGCAGGCTTCCTAGCAGGGAGCCTGACGCGGGCTCGATCCCAGGGTCCTGGGATCATGACCTGAGCCAAAGGCAGATGCTTAACCAACTGAGCCACCCAGGCGCCCCTTTCCTGTTTCTTTGAAATATATCCTTAGTTTTATAGTGTTTTCCTGTCTTTTGATTTAGTCTTAATATCTGATACTGTCTCTCGGATTATATTTGTCTCCCTGCTATGGCCTCTCCTGTCCTGTCTTTGAACCACTCTGGGCCCTTGAGAACCCAGCCTGGTTCCAGTGTCCTGACCTTCTGCCTTTCGATGAAGGGGATTTGGATTTTTTTATTTATTATTATAATAATTATTATTGCTATTTTAGAAAGGGAAAAAGTACGGGAGGGAGGGGTAGAGAGAGAGAGAATCTTAAGCAGGCTCCCCACTCAGCACAGAACCCAAAGCAGGGCTTGATCTCACAACCCTAAGATCATGACTGAAGCCAAAGTCAAGAGTCCTATGCTTAGTGGACTGAGCCACCCATGCGCCCTAGGGGATTTAGATTTAAAACAAATTCTGTAATCCAACAAAGAGATAAAGCAAAGCATATTGATAGATTAAAAAAAAAAAAGCACATTATTTTATTTTTAAAAATACAACAAAAAATGAAGTTGAAATTGTGGTTCCCAAATCAAAATAAATAAATAAATAAATGATATTCTTATTTGAGGTGTTTGTAAAGAAAATAAGCTAATCAACAGCAGATGTTTAGCTCCTTTATTGACAAACTCAACTGATAGTTTAAGGCTCAAAAAAATTATGAATAACTTTTAGGGGATGCAAAAGCTTAGGAATGGTTATAAATGGTAAAGACGTTAGTTGCAATGAAAATATTTATTGAGCATTTAATATATGCTACATGTACTAGGAATTTCAAGAAAAATTTAAACTATAAATAAGCCTTTGCTTTTGAGGAACTTTCAAGACAAAAGTGGAGAAAACAAATATGAAACACTAATGATAACAGAGACAGAATAGATAAGGAGCACACATGAGTTGTTGACTCAGTGCATTAGAGGTCAGAGAAAAGAGAGATGAAATCTACCCTGGAAAATAAAAAAATATAGTTGTAAATAAAATATTTGAACTAGATTTTGCTAACAGATGACAGACATTTCTGAAAAACATATGATGCAAGGTGAGAAATTATAATTGATTTTTGCAAAACAGCAAGTTGCACAGTTTGGCTGTAGGCCACTTTGGAACATGTAGAGCAGCAGGGAGAATAAAGCTGGAAATTTAGCTGAAATTAGAGCACAGAAGGGCTGGAATATGAGCCCAGGGAGACTAAATTTGATTTAATTTTGTATGTAAAGAGTGAAAGTTTCTGAGCAGAGAAATGAGTAGCTCATACATATGAAAAGAAAAAAAAAAAAAGATTAATCTGGCAATGATGTTTTAAATGGTAGTTAGAGAAAACAGCCCAGAGGCTGGAAGGCAAACTAAGGAGACAGTTCCGATTGTCCACATGAGAAGATTAAGGTCAGGGCGATGGTGGTGGGGAAGGAAACAAGGGCGTAGGTGTGGGATGGACTGCCACAGTGAACTGATGGCATTTGGCGATTGACTGGATGGGCAGAGCAGAAAAAGATTAAAAGAAAAAAACTACAATTTTACATTCCAAATGATTTGAGAGAATGACTAAAACATTTACTGAGAGACTGCAAAGGAAAAATGGTTTAGTGATGGAAGATAATGACTGTATTACACAGCTTACTATATATGGAGTCGGGAAAATCATGTAGATTTTAAGAAAACAGTGTTATTGGCAAGAACTTGGAGCGCAATATTTACAGAATTAAGGTGCAAGAAGAAATAAATAAATAAAAAGAACAAATCCAGAAATGCAAAATGAAAAGCCTAAGGCTTAGTAATGGTTCAGTGCTAAGGAAGCCCAAAAAAGAGATTCAGGTTGTGTGTTTTGCTAACAGTTTAAAAGGACCACCACGGGTTCAAAGATAAAGGCTTTTTGATGAATAACAGATCACCGATAACTTTCAAGGAAACAACTACAGTGAAGAAGTGGAGATCAAACCACACATTGTAATGACTACACAGTAATCATTTGAGAAGGTTGGTAGTAAAAGAAAGAAAGGAAAGAAAAGCAGTGTGAGAAATATGAACAATCACACCCATATTCTTTTGGTCTAGGAGTGACCAGAACATTCCCGGGGGCAGAGAGAAGCCTTCTAGGGAGGGATGGAAAGAAGCTCCAAGGCAAAAGTGTTTTAATGAGGAGATAGGATGAAATGAATTACTCGCAACAGGTCAGGTTAGTCTGTAATCAGGGTCTAAGGTCTAATAAATACGTGAAATGAACATGGGAAGAGAGGAGAAATCAAAACGAAGATAAAGAAACAGTTCAGTAAACATGAGAGGATAGAGTGGAAGACACAATGAGGACACATGGAGGAACTCTTATAACCACGGATATCGAAGATAAAACTGTTCTGACAATCATGATTACAAGAACAATTTTCCAGTACTTTCTTTTTTCCCCAAAAATTAAAAGTCTATATACGGGAGAACATATGGGAGAATAAAGGTAAAAAAAGATGTATTAACATTTAGTTCTGATTTTTCTTGAGTAGTATCATAACACGGACTTGGAGATTTGCCATGAAAAGAGAAAATCGACCATGACCATGTACCATGGAGATCGAGGACTCTTAATCTTACCTCTCTCAGAGGATCATTGAGTTCATTGAGAATGTTTTCCTCATCAAAGATTTTGCCTTGGTATCTGTGTTCATAGTAGTCGTGTATTTTCTGACGCATATCAGCTGGTAACTTATGGAATGACATGTATTGCTCCACTTGCTTATACTGTAAGGAAAGGAAAAAGGAAATTAGAAAACACTGTTAGGCCGTATGAGAAATCATCATGTTACCTTGCTGTGCTCAATTCAATAATATTTGAATAACAGTAACAAAAAGAAGAAATCCTTTGAGGGGAAGGAACTAATGTACAAGGATGTAACGTACCTACTCTATGTCACATACTCCGCGAGGGGTTTATTTAGGTAAACATTTCTTGTAGAGAACTGAGTTGTGGAGGGGCATGAAAGGAGCTCAGAGTGAATTTAAAGGTGTCACCCCAGAAAAGCCAGTGACGAGACAGGAAAAAAATGTGATGTTATTTTTTTGGAATCTTTTTTTAGCTGTGTTCTAGAAGAAGTATCATGTTATGTTTGGCCCCTCATCCAGATATAGAATCTCCTAGGTTTGGGTAGAACAAATGGTTTTATCTTAGACCTTTTAGCAAAAGATCAGACCTAATTAAAATTTGAATTTAGTGACAGAGAGCTTGGCAGCTGTTCCCAAGTCATAGATACTCAAGCAACACAGATGGCCTGAAAAGTGTGAGAATATGTCACCCTTCAATTTAGGACTTAAAGAGAATCAGGGTGAGACTAGATCCACGTAATTTTATAGCCAAAAGTTAACTTAGATGTTTAAATTCATTTAACCAAGTAGTTCTTAAGCTTAATTGTTGATAAAACTTGGGGTAAAGTTGACTTTGGGAATGCAGATTTTTCAGGCTTAACTCCAGAGATTGATTCCCTTGATGTATCTGCTTTTGTGAATTTATACATATACTCATACACACACACATACGCAATTTGAAAATAAATCCCTGGTATTCAAAAAGGAACATAGATATTAGCTGGGAACTTATTAGAAGAGAATTTCAGGCTTTACTCCAGACCTATGAAATCAGAGTCTACATCTTAAAAAAAGATTCTCAGATGACCTATACACATTTAAGTTTGAGAAACATTCCCTTGATGTTGCAAATGCAGGTAGCCACGAGACCATACTTTGAAACAATTAATTAGAGCCTCCCAAATGAGTTTCATTGCATAGATGATAAAATTGAATACAAATAAAAAAGTAGGTAATAAAACTGGATAAACATACTGGAATAAGATTCTTCCCTTAAAAAAACACACTTGCTGTGTTTTGGAGAACACATGGAAATTTTTTTTTTTCCTCACATCTTTTCCTGATGACTTAGAGGTCTCCCAACTCCTTGTCCATAATTAGTGTCGTTGTAATTGGTACTTGATAACACATACATCTAATCAGAAACAGCAACCTATTATATTTCTTCAACTTTTTGGACATACTTTCCTTTCACAAAACATTCCTATTTTTAAGACATTCCCTTTTGGAAATTAGTATTCTTAAAGGAAATACAACTTTGTCATGAGACTTCTTTATTTGGTCACCAGACTGTCCCCCGAGTATTTAAAGCTTGCAGGCCTATATATATCTCTCGCTGAAGCAACTTGATTATGATTTAAGCATTTTATATTTAGACACCAATGCTTTCACTGTCACTTGTGTAAGTGGCTTCTAGCATGTACTTGAGAAGGATTGGTTAATTTTTCCTGAAGAGCTCAGAATCTGTATGCCTACCTAATCTTGGTAACCCACTTCTAGAGACCTGGGATTCAGTCTGCTTGACCCTCATGCAGCTGGTCCATAAGAAAGAAGTTTCAGTGACCTCTGTAAGACTGCTGTGTAGGATAAAGTTGATTTGCAGCTGGACTGAAAAAGCTCTATCTTTATTTCTAGAGACATCCATGCATCTGATTTTTTTCTTTTAGCCAAAAAGAGGGCAGTGGGATATTTGATGTACTGTTTAGGGTCCGAGGCTCCACTGGAAACCCCAAGTTTAACTTTCGCACTAATGCTTTGCAGCTAGTCTATCTAGTTTGATTATTCTGGCTTGACTATTTAAAGAGCTACTGAGAACTTTGTTGCTGAGCTTCCCCCCAAACCAAGGCTCCTTGCACAGATTCTGGTGGATCAAGCCAGAAACTCAGCATGTTCCACATGCCTGAAGATTGAGCCCACAGGGAGCTCATGTTGGGGAAAGGTTCTTGGGCCTTTGATGCCATGTGTGCATTCTCTTTCTCCAAAGCCCTGTAATCCTTTGCCTTTAAACAAATGCCTCATACGAGTAAAGTCTGGTGAATCTTGTTAAATATTCAAACTTGGGAAAACAATAAAACAGCTTAAGAGCACAGGCCTGCCACAGTTTTGACACTCACTGCGTTGATGAAAGTCCTTTCAGTTCTGGACAAATAAAGGATTCAATTTTCTTCAGGACCAGTAGGGGTCAAGTAATCTCTGTTTACTTTTCTGAAAAAACTGCTTGCCCAAACACTGCTTCGATTGGTGAGAATCTTTAACCTTAAGCAGGGTACTAAGCTCTAGATTTCTCTGTTCTTTGCATGCATTTCAGTGGGCATGGGAGGCAGCCTTAGAAGTTAGTAGTATTTCAATTCATTTTTACAAAATTTGTGCCTATATGCAAGGGCCTACTTATCTAGAGAAAAAAATAATCTGCTCAATGTCTATCTTGAATTAGAAAACTAATCCTTGATCAGCTAAATACAAATGTTACACATGAAGTTATTTTATTTTTATGGAAAGTCAGGATTGGTGGAATGTAGTTATTTTTCCTCATATGAATCATTTAATCCCTTTATACTTGAGTTTACTAATCTACAATAAGAGAGTGTTTCACCAAATGTTCTTCTTTGTTCTTTCAGACTAAAGTTCTATGAATATTTCTTGTCATTTAATCATACTGAGTTCAATTTGATTTTTGAGCCCATATTACATATTTTAAACATTAATTTATGGTAATTATTGATCTACCACATATTAACTGATTGCTGTGTGCCAATGGTTCTCAAACTGCAGTTAAGGGGCAGATAAATCACCAGTATCACAGGGAAGCCTGTTAGAAATGCACATTTGAAGTTTTCACCCCAGACCTACAGAACCAGAAATTCTAGCAGTCTGTGTTTTAAAAGGCCTTCCCTACATTAAAATATCAGAACTACTTCTATCTGCCAAGAACTGTGTTATCTTAGGGCATAAGGAAGCACTTTTGAGTGAGAGTAGGGGACAGAAAGGAAATTCAGTTTTGATAAGTTAAGTTTAAGATGCCTATGGCACAGCCTAATGCTTATATGTAGGTCAGGCACTTAGAAGAAAAAAATATACACATAGTCAATGACTAAGAGATCACTAAGGGATAATGTGTCAAATAAAGAGATTTTAAAAAAGTGGAACCTACATTTTAAAAGCAGTTGGAAATTGATCAAGTTAAGGGAGCTGAGATTAGCCAGCCAGATGTGACAGAGCCAAAAAACCTCGACTCAGAGCAAAGAAGGATAAAGTTTCAAGGGGCAGGAGGTACTCAAAAGAAGTATATTCTAAGAAAAGAGGTATTGCACCATAACCAGTGAATTTGGAAATTGGGTAATGATCTTTGTTAGAACACAACACTTATCGAAAACAGGAGCTACTCCTTTTTGTCTGTTTCCCTATACCTAACTAGACTTGAAAAATAATGAATGAAAATAGACCTACCTGTGATATGAAGAATAAAATAATAATAATTCTTTGAAAAACAACCTAGTGGTAGGTGGATAATGGAATAAACTAGGTGTTGGAAGCTACATATGACAAATTTAAAAAAATGATAATATGGAAAAGTTTCTGTTAGTTGTAATACTATACAATATGTGAAAGATAAGTTGATACATTTAATAGTCACTGGTGAAGAGACTTTTGAAAAACAAAGATGCAAATACAATTATTTCTTGAATATATAAAATCAAAAGTTCATCCCATCAGATCTAAAGAGACTATTGGGGCACCTAGGTGGCACAGTTGGTTAAGCATCTGATTCTTCAGCTCAGGTCATGATCTCAGGGTCTCGGGCTCTGCACCCAGTACACTCTGCTTAGGACTCTCTCGCCTTCTCTCTCTCTCTGTGCCTCCCCCCTCTAAAATAAATAAAAACATCTTTAAAAATATTAGAAGAGACTATAACATCATCATTTAAAATTCTAATGTACTTTTATTTTCAAAATTTTCTGTGCAATTAAAATGATACATAAAAATATTGCATGAACATACTAAAAATGAGATCTAATATATATAATGAAGACAACATTCCATTATTAAACTCACTCTGCCCATGTTACCACTTTTAAAAGGTGTTTTGTCTATATTGCTAAGTAATACGCTTCTGTTTCTAATTCTTATGTGGATCAATTGTAGGCAACATTTATTGACTTTTTGCCATGGAAAGGTGGTGTAGCCACTAACAGCCCCCCATATCTTCTTACCTTCTCTCTCATTCTGCAATTGTGTCACTAGTGTTAATTCTTCCCTCAGTCTCTTTTGTAACTTTACATAACATAATTATATCTTTATTTCTTGTTCAGAGAACTCTAGACAAGTTTACCAAATGAAATGTAACAAACTCATTCTTTCATTTCTATTTTTTAACTTTTGTCATCTCTACTTTTATAATATAAAGGTGGATTGTAATTTTGTACCTGAAATTGGACCTACCAAAGCGGTTATACAGTGTTTGCATTACTCTGTTTACCACAATGCCAAGTGCAGCATTTGATGACATTTCCTTTGGTTTTGTGGATTTTTAATGACTTTTATTTTTTGCACAAGTAATTTTTTTCCAGCATCCCTATCCTAGCTGACATCCACTAGGATTTCTCTTTATAACATCCCTGGTTGGGTTCCCTATTCCCAGAGCCTATGTTTCTCTTTTGGTTTATTTATTCATGTTGCTAGAGTCAATCCCCAAGGAAATCACTAAGAAATACTAAATGTGATATAGGTTTTTTAATTTTTTCTTGTCTGAAAATATCTCTTAAACTCAAACTCAATTGTTAAACTAACTACATAAAATTGTTAAACTAACTACATAGAATTCTAGGTTTGAACTACTCTAGTTGGATGTTGAACTTTTGCATTTGATCTTCTATACTGGA